AACACCAACAYATTACACAAGATCCTTGTTGCAGATTTATTCATTAATTACCTGTTAGGAGTTAACTCAGTCTCTGTGTTGGCAAAATATCTCAMAAACCACTAGTCAAATGTATCAAAACTTTCATGAAATAAAGTTTGAAAGAACTCTAATGGGTTAACTTTTGGAATCAATCCAATTCAAGATGGCTGCCACAAGCAATGACTCAAGTAAACAAAACTGTCTCTAATTCAGTGGTGCTATTATATGGGGTAGTAGCTGAGAGCGACTCACAGTCTAATGTCAGAGGGAGACAGCTCATGGTGTTTCATGAGATCATTATGAGGTTCATCTTTAAAGATTTTTTTTAATTGTTATTTTGGGGTAATGTGCATTTATAGAAGAAATACTGAGCCATTACTTGGTTTGGATCAATACCATTTACTGACATGAACCAGTCAAGAAATAATCTGCTGCCAGTAAACTCTAAGACACGCCCATGACTAGGTTAACCATGGTGTTTGGGAACTTCCAGCATTGATGGTTTAGCCTGAGTTAATTGTGTTAACCTCTGTGATGAACTTTAAGCTTTTAGCTGAAGGCAGGAGATCATGTCCTCACAGGCCTCTGTTCTGCTGGGTTCATACCTCAGTCAACTTTCATTCAGCACTTTTTTTCTGGAGATCATGACTGCAGTTTATATTAAATTGGTTTCTTTTCAGCAGTTAAAAGTGAATTATGTTAAACTCTGAGAAAAATAACAAGGGTTTATATCAAAAATTGAATAATTTAGTAATACAAAGACAAAGTGCATTAATATATTCTAACTTAATCAATGATTTAAAAAAGTGTCAATGTTGAGTCAGCATCTTGAATTGTTTTCTATTTTGGATGGGTGGCTGGACAAACAGCCTAAACCCAAACCCTAATCTAACAACACAGATAGATAGACAGAAGTAATAAGTTGTATGCAGATGTAAGACAAGAGTTGTGACTGTGTTAGGATGGATGGGTGGATGGATGGATGGCTGGATGGATGGATGGATGGATGGATGATGGTTGGATGAATGAATGAATGGTTGGATGGATGATGGTTGCATGGATGGATGATGGATGATGGTTGGATGGGTGATGGTTGGATGGATGAATGTATGGTTGGATGATGGATGGATGATGGTTGGATGGATGGATGGATGATGGTTGTATGGATGGATGGATAGATGGATGGAAGGATGGATGGATTGATGATGGATGGATGGATGGGTGGATGGATGATGGTTGGATGGATGAATGGATGTTGGATGATGGTTGGATGGATGGATGGTTGGATGATGGATGGATGATGGTTGGATGGATGGATGGATGGATGTTGTATGGATGGATGGATAGATGGATGGATGGATGATGGTTGGATGGATGGATGGATGGATGTATGGATGATGGATGGATGATGGTTGGATGGATGGATGGATGGATGTTGTATGGATGGATGGATAGATGGATGGATGGATGATGGTTGGATGGATGGATGGATGGATGGATGGATGATGGATGGATGATGGTTGGATGGATGGATGGATGGATGTTGTATGGATGGATGGATAGATGGATGGATGGATGATGGTTGGATGG